GTTCTTGTAGTTCTGACAAATCTGAGAGATGTTGCCAATGTTGTACTTATTAGTCATTAGCAACTGAAGCTGGGGCACTAATATAGTCTTAATCATGCTGTATGAGTGACCTATGCCACAGGAAGTACACAGCTGAAATTCGGAAGTAAGCAGAAAATAAAGTACGCAAAAACCTAATCGTCAAGCGATTTCCTCGTTAAGCGAGGCAGTCGTTAAGCGAGGCACCACTGTAGATTCAATGAAACAAAGGAACTTATATAGGTGTTGATTCACCCAATCCCCATTGATTCAAAAGTCTGATTGCAACTTATTAAAAAAAGCCAATGCTGGGCAAGCAGCATGGTTATAGCCCAAAGAAATAAGGCAAAACTTTGTATTCAGAACTTGGAAGTAAACACTTTGAAAAGTTATTTGTAATTCTTTTCCTAACAATAAAAGTATACAATAACAAGATTACGTTATAAATGTGAGCTATCATTTCTTTTGTGGTACATCTGTCAGTTTCAGGTTACTTCTCTAATTGGAGGTGTGGTCTCACAAAATGGTGCAGAAACAATATAACAGATCACTAGGAATTCCAGTATTAATGAAAATACAGCTGGGTAATTGTATCATACAACATTCTGTGTTTTGTGTACTGTTTTGTGTATTGATTTAAACTTATTTACATTTTAATTAATTTTGAACCTGCAGCAAGTGACTTGTGGCATTCATGAAAAAGAACAATTTTCATTACTTTGGGGAACCGGGAATGTAAAGTGTTACTTTCCAGAATTTGAATCTATAGTAATAATGAGCTACTAGGCTGGCATTTCAAATTACTGTATAATGCTAAAAAATTACAGTAAGTATTGAAATCTTTGAGAGAGGCTATATTTCATCCTGCTTGTGAAGTGATTTTGTTTCCTACTGTGAGTGGGTTTTCACTGTCTGTAAAGACAGTACTATTTGCTATGAACTGACTGGGTTCTCCTGTCAATAAAACTCTGAGAGTTACAAAATAAAAAGGCAAATTGCCATGCTGATGATTCTGTGTTGTTATTTCACCCATATTCTTGACATGTTAAAATAGGAGTTGGATACCCAGATGAATTCAAGTAACATGTTTTGAGATAGTTCCCTGTGGCTTGGTCCAAAGGGATTCAACTTATAATTACAATATAAAGAGGAACCAGACAACATCAACAAACACAGCAACCCCTATAGAACAGCTACATGGACTTAGACCATAGATTACATACCCACCCAGAAACATCCCCAATCTCCATTATTGGAAGCTACTGCAGAATGAAAATATTGTAAACAAGTACAAGCAAATATGCCAATGCAGAACATGGCAGAACATTAAGGTCTACATTGGTCTATAGCCAAAATGTTTCTGAAATAAATGTAGTCAGACTTTACTAATTCTGCATCACTAAGAACTAAAATGATGCTTAAAATTATTGAATGCTCTAGTTTTCAAGATATGCTATTGGGTCAGTATGTACAACCATTGGCTTGAGAATGGTGGAGGATAAGTGAGTTATAAAGGGAAACAATCTCAATTTAAACTAGAAATAACTAAAATACATCTTTGACTGAATCTATAAATAAATCTATGACTGGGTTTGGAACGTACCTGCTTTTTAGGCAAAACAATGAATGATGCTGAAGCTGGTATTGCATATTACATGATATGAATTGCAGCATGTTTTCCTAGAAGTCATGAATGATGCAGTCATAATGAAGCTTACAACACTCTGCTGAACAAATTTCCCTAAAAATCATACACTGTTTTGCTCTCTTATTTGTCAGTGTTTGATTTTGCAAAGGGACACTGTTCTGTTTAGCCAGAGAAGCGTCATACTTGTGTGAACAGTGCAGATAAATTCTGCTGTGTTTGTGGTGAAGTGACTTTTGCATCACAAAAGCACCAGAATCATTCTCACTAGAGTCAGATGAAAAAGAGGAAAAGGATGAAACTTCTGATCCTGTCACAAGACCCACATTTTCTCCCATTCTCCTCCTCTGAAACACACCTCATAACGCAAGGTGAACTAAATGACCTTGTCATGGATTTGGATCTACCCAAGAGTAAGGCAGAGCTGTTGGGCTCCAGACTACAGCGGTGGAATCTCTTGACAGGTGATAAGGTTTCCAGGTTCTGTGACTGTCAAAAGGATCTCGTTCCATTCTTCTTCATGGAAAGCGATCTTGTAGCCTGCAACAACATCAATGGTGTGATGGCAGGCTTCAGCATTGTTCACAGTTCAGATCAGTGGAGACTGTTCATTGATTCATCAAAGAGGCTTAAAGCTACTTTGCTGCATAATGACAATGTTTTGCCATCAATTCCAGTTGGTAATGCAATCCATGTGAAGGAAACATGACAACATGAAACAACTGTTGAGGTGCATAAACCTCGGTGGCAGCTTTGTGGCGATCTGAAGATTGTTGCACTCTTGCTTGGGCTGAAGACTGAATACACAAAGTACTGCTATTTTCTCTGTGAGTGGGATAGTCATGCAAGAGATTCCCACTACATCAAGACAGATTGGTCACTTCGACAGTCATTGGAGCCTGGGAGGAAAAATGTTCAGCATCCACCACTTCTTGAATCAAGGAAAATTTTGTTACCTCATGAACTTCTTCAAGATGATACACCTGACCATGCACTGTGTGGCAAGAAAAAGTCTGAATGGAAAGCCTTCAAGTTAGTCGTAATAAATATCAATATTGGAAATATCAAGGCAGATAAATACAGGTTGTTGGTGGAAAATCTCTTCAAGGCATCAGCAAGCAATTTCACTAGGACATTGCAACAATGGAGAAATACTATCAGGGCCAATGGAGCGCATCAATGCTTACATACTACTGCTGGCCAGTGACAAGGGATGCTCCATTTAATGAACACAAGAGACAAGCCAAGGCATACCAACTGAATAGGACTAATGTATATAATAGTATTTTGCCTTTTCTTTCATAATAAATTTTATTTATTATGCTTGTGCTGATTTATAAAGTGCTACATTAACAGGACAAGTGAAATATCATCAGGTAAAGCAATCATAAACATAAAAAGACCTAGATTTACAATTTATGATTAAAACTCTACTATCTGCACAATATACATAGATGTAAAATGTAAAAACTATCTTGGAAACAATGGCTAAGTGTTGTTTTAATTGTTATACATTGTATTTGAATTCAGCACATCCAAATTCATAATAAATAGCACATTTTATCTATGAAGCAGACAACGTCTTTAAAAAACGTAGGATTATGTAATCAGAAGAGCAAGCTTGATCAAGGAATCCCAGTACTAGATCATTATGAATTCCAGCACTAATTAAGATAAAGATGAAAAATTATGTTGTACAACCTGCATTTGTATCTCTACAGTTCTATAGGAGATGTATTTCAACAAAAACTAAGAACTTTCAATTACTAGATATGATTCTTTTGATAGAATGGCAAAACCTCCATTCATTTTAATGGACCTCAACTGAATCCTCCACATATTTCAACAGATCGCTTGATTTTTTCAGGCTCTGTTCTATAGGTGAATACAGCCCTACTGAACAATGAAAAGGACAGAGAATATTTTGGAGCCTTCTACACCATTTAGTTTTCAAGGAGAAATAATAAATACGCAAGCATTAAATGTTAAGCTGTAGTGGTCAGCCTCTGATATCATGACTCTTTTTTTATTATTCTGTTCTCCCTTTTACATGAAATGCTATTAACATAAACCCTTTTTTGTTCAGTTAGGGACATCTGGTAATTTGTATTTTCTGAAATTTTCCATTGTCTAACTCTTGAAAGAAAATGCACAATGACCGCAAATAGTAGCAATGGTATCCCAACAATACATATGTGGACAGAATAATAAGCTATTTTTGCTCAAATGCTATTTGCATAATTACTGCAGAATAGCTAATGCAGAACAAGGTCACTGAAGGATTGTACAGAAAGACCCTGAGAAATTACCTAGAACATATTGTAACATGGTGTGTGTTGTGCTGAAATTTTGTTTCAGCAAGACAAAAGACACGCAGAATATTTTATCTATTTTCTGATTTGCATTTTTTGTGCACGATAACCCTGCCTTTTTGACATGTCCTGACATAATATTATTATGTTTTGTCTGTAGAGTATAGGGGGGAAAAGATAACATGATAAATAAATACCAACCTTTTCACAAAGGAAAAAAATCCAAAAGCTTTTAACTTGGAGAAATGCAGCGTTCTATTTAAAGAAGCAAGGTATTCAGTATAGATCTATTAAAATTGATGGGACTTTTGGCATTTACTTTAAAGAATCATACCCTGTAACTGAATATTGATGCCAACCTGTGTTTGTTTTCAGTCAGGACAAGTCTAAACTATGAGAAATGAAGCTGCCACTGCTCATTGTCTTTGTTCTTCTATCATATCATTTGATGTGAGGTGACGTAGAAATGCAGGATGTGATGGTGTCACACCATGAGCAGTTTTCATTAGGTGGGACAAAGATTAAAAAGGCATGGGCAGTACCAGCTCTATATGTTATAAAACCTACCTCAGCATTCAGTGAAATTCTTTCAAACTGTGCTTTTCTATTTATTATTTATACAGACTTTCTCACAAACATTATAAAGAATAGGGAAAACCCTTTTTAAAGAAACATCTTACTTCCCCATCCACACTTAATAATAACTGCCATTATTTTCCTGATTACAATTACAGCTTTTTACAATTACAGTAACAGAACAAAATTACTGAACTATAGCAATTCTACTTGCCTTATTTCCTCCTGGATTTAAAAAAGAAATCAGTGCATCCATCATTTTGACTCCACCCCCAACTCCCCCAGTAATTACAAGAGTCAACTAACAGGAGCAGCTTTGTATCTAAGAATATGTTAAGTGAATATAATTATCTTCAATTGGAATGTCCATTTAACTTAAAGTAATGGGTACATGAGGAGTAACTTTTTAATGAACAGATTAAACCTGAACAGTACACGTATTTACTTACCTACAATTCCTAATGCAATATAACCCAGGATAACCACAACGAAGATGACACAGCATAGAACGTCTGTACAATGCCTGAAGACAAAAAACAAACAAACAAACAAAAAACAAGACATATTAAGCAACTGCAAAAAAAGGTAAGTTCACTCAATTTCACTTCTGGGCACTTTATAGGTATAAACTGCATCCACTCAGCCCCAACTACAAGATACCAGTTCCTTGATCTTTTTTCCCCCATCTCATTTTGAAAACATATGTTTATGCTGAGCCAACTCACTGCAAACAAACATCCATTCAAATGTCTGTACAATTTCTGCATGGCCAGATTTTGAAATGCTTACTGTTACGAAGAAATAGCCTGTACTGTATTTTTTTTTTTTAAAAAAAGAGCATTTGACAAAGAAATCCATGGGCCATTTATGGGTTTATGCATTACTCCAGGCTAATTCATGACCATTGTAGGTGGAACTCGTCAGCCTGGAAGGCAGCCCATCTAGGAGAAGGAAAACTCTGATCCCAAACCCCCATGCCACGAGGAGAAGGAGGAGGCACCGCCATCACCCATGTGGTGAGGGAGCAGCCCAGGTAAGTGGGACTCATTAGCCTTGGAAGGCAGCCCTTCTAGGAGAAGGAAAACTCCAATTTCAAACCTCCACTGCATTGTGGCTATATCCACTGATAGAAAAGGCTTCAGGAGTAGACCTCAAGGCGAAATCCGGAGCCAGAGTCCCAGAGGCAGTTCGTGTCATTCTGGCGACTCCTGCGACATCGCTGGAACCAGTTGTATTGGCTCTTGCCTTTCCATTGGACTATTTCAGTGATGTGGAGAGGGGGGATCTTCTGCTTGGGTAACAGCCTATCCTCCATATTATTCTACCCTGGCTTCATGCTCTGGAGAGGACACTCCAGCTTCATGTACAGCGTCGAAGTCCTCCATACAGAGCACGTTACCATAGTCTCTCGAGACTGAAGGATGCCTATGATGATGGTGCTTATGATATTTGGCTTCCTTCTCAGTCTATAGAAGCTTTCCACACATAGTGAATGGTCTGTCAAAAAATGGAAATTCTACAGTCACCACACAACAACTAAATATCTTAAACTGCATGAAAAAGTAGTGCTATGAGTGAAATTGTCAAAGAATAAAAAATGGTGGCCATCCATTGGCTATTACTAGAAATCTATTTGCAGGTCTGAAAGGCATCCAGTCCTTGTCTGAAAGGTTCAGGAATCTTTTCCAAACAGTTTATTCATTATAATATTGATTCTATATTAGATATGATCAACTTTTACAGAGGAGAGAACATGAAACACAACATATTCACAAGCCATGAGGAGAGGTGTGTACAAGAAACAAGAGCCTGCCCTAGACTGTTCAAGAATCAGTGTTACTCACACTAAAATCAGTATATGCGGCTTCTGACCTTTTGTGGGGTCCCCTTTCCCATCCCGAAGTTTGGAAGATAAGTACAAAATTATCCTTTGAGCACAGTGCTGTTCACAGGCCAATGGATGGATGGCTGACCTTGAATTAGATGTAAACTGCCCATGACTAAAACAATGTATAAAAGCATTGCATCCATCCTGCTTCAAGGGAAGAAACACTGCAATATAGTATCAAACAGGACTCAATGAACACAGTGAAAAAGTGAAAAATGTTGGAATTAGTATCTGAACAAAATATTTTAAAAAGATTGAAACAGACACTAAGAAATGTAGCAACCATAATTAGGCCTGAAGTCAGACTGAGGTGTATCTAGACATCCATCTCATCCAAGAACTTTTAGGAATGAGAAGCCATCACATGTTCTACCACATGCAATATAGAAAGGAACAGAGCAGATTACACTATAATTATCTAGTACAGTGGCAATGCAAAGAGTAATCATCATACTAGTGTCTCCTTTAGGCATGTTTTAATTTCACTTTCCTACAGGGAGGCATTCACTGCTCCCTTACTCACTTCATCAACTCCCTCCCCCCCATTACTTTTATAAATCAGGAAAGACAAAGGTTTTACTCCTCCGGATTGCTCTCCTACAGTGTCTCCTGTTTTTGAAGTGACATCAAGACATGTGACAGCAAATTCCTCCATGAAAACAAGTACTGTACAGGAATCCTTACGTCTTCACCCAAAAAGGATCGCAACCAGCATTTTCATTGTGCAGGACACTGAGAAAATGCATTATTTTCATCTTAATTAAAGAAGAAACATCAATATCAATTTGAGCACAGTAAAGTTAAGATCCTAAGTGTTCTGCAAGGCACTCTGCGGATCTTTGTAAATCCTCCAGTCACCTCTATCATCTGAGAAGTCATTGCTCAAACTTAAGGGGCCTTCAGAAGCAGTCACTTATACGCTGGCTAAACAGTAACAGAACAGAAAAGATGGATTGATTCTGTTTATTTGGAGATGCTTTTTCACATACACACTGGTGAATGTTAGTCATGGTCTCATCATTATACATTTACTGTACAGTTACAGTATACAGCTACGATAGTATATCCAAAACAATAAGTTCTCTGTATAATTCAAATACTTTTCAAAGGCTTGCTAAGAAAGGTGAACTCTATCCGTTAGCTTGATCTAGGATAAACTCACTGAATAAGAAGGATTTACTGTATATAATTTCGAACAAGTTCCATTCGTTCAACGGGTCAACTTTAGTTGAGATAACTGGATTTAACTTACAGGGTTTATAAATGCATGTGCATTACCTATATATTGCTATTCATACAATGCCTTGCACCCACAAAACAGCCATTGCAAATCAAACATCACATGAAGAGTTTTCACATCTCCTTAGACAATATCTTTTTCAGTGAAGCCAGCACTCCATCAAGTAATAAATATTGGGGAAGGTAGATGCATATGGATCAAGTCCCAAGTCACTCTCATAGTTGGAGGAAATACGATCTCTCACTACAGCACTGACAGAGTAACAGCAAGTTCATTCAGCTTCACTACCCAAGCTGAAAACAACTACCAAGGTGAATCCTCATAGAGGAAAGGGAATATCATTACATGAAAATCAGTTGTGAAATAAATGAGCTAGGAAAGCTGATGAGAGTGAAAAAGCAGGAAAGGTGACCAAGCACAAACTTCAAAGGATGATCAGTATTCTTTGCCACTTTTAGCTAAGCAGTCAATTCCCTGCTGGTGTCTTTATCTAGAAATAAATTCATTTATGTGCCACTATATCCGGCTGAACTATTTTACAGCACTATGCTTTGATCTATTCTTTTCTTTGTGTTAGTATTTCTTTCTTCTTTGTTTTGCACTTCATTCTGAGAAGTCATTCAAATTAAAGAACAGATAAAAATGAAGCTAAACAAGCAAACAAGCACTAAGAGAGTAATGTACAGAAATTATAGAGATGCACGGAATAGAGATTACTAAGATGTCTATTTTTTGAGATGCCACAAAACCAACAAAGAGTGTTGGGCAGTATATAGTTTAACAGGTTTTATTTGGCATAAGCTTTTCTGGACTTCAAAAGGGACGTGGTGGCGCTGCGGGCTAAACCGCAGAAGCCTGTGCTGCAGGTTCAGAAGACCAAGCAGTTGTAAGATCGAATCCATGCGACGGAGTGAGCTCCCGTCGCTTGTCCCAGCTCCCGCCAACCTAGCGGTTCGAAAGCGTGCAAATGCGAGTAGATAAATAGGGACCACCTCGGTGGGAAGGTAACAGCGTTTCGTGTCTAAGTCACACTGGCCACATGACCACGGAAGATTGTCTTCGGACAAACGCTGGCTCTATGGCTTGGAAACGGGGATGAGCACCGCCCCCTAGAGTCGAACACGACTGGACAAAAATTGTCAAGGGGAACCTTTACCTTTAACCTTTACCTTTCTGGACTTCAGACCATTCTTCCAAATGTACAGAGCACACATCTGAAGGAGTGGGTCTAAAGTCTACAAAAACTGGTGCCAAATAAGACTTCAAGGTGGAAGAAAGCTCTGTACCTTTTTTTAAAAAAAAGATAAATATTCAAGGTGAATTAAGAACAGAATAGCTGAAAGTGCACTGAACATCTCGTTTTGCCATTTCTGCTTCTACAGTCTGGAAGTGAAGATGTCTTCAGTTAATTAGGAATTGTAAGGCAGCACATACTTACAGAAAATAAGACAGTGAAATATGGGACAATTCTAGATTGATTAGAAGCAACGATTTGCTACATATTACTTCAAATTTATTTGATTCATGAGCAGATTCCTCTTTCAAAATTGTGCTTGTACAAGTGCAATATTTAACAAATGACATCCCAAAGAGGGAAATATAGCCTATTATAGAATTTCTACAATATCTTTCTTTTCTTTTTTAAATTACATAGATCTAGGAACTCTTCAGACTCCTAGCTGGGGCTAGGAGTATAAATCCCCGCTATGCCCCCAACTTAAGAGAGGCCAGTCAATATAACTTGGGAGCATGTGCAACTCATAGGGTTACATATCCTGTCACCTATGTAACCTTAGACATGTTTCACGGTCCACCATTATCACCAGAAGCAGGGACAGATAAACCACTTCCAAGTACTTTATACCTAGAAAATCCCACTAAGGTCACAGCAATCTGACATCACATAGTTTCATAACTGTATATAACGAACAGAATGAGAACAAAAGCTATGTCTCGGATTTATCCACTAGAACAGGGGTCCCCAACCCCTGGTCTATGTCCCAGTGCCAGCCCGTGGGCTTCCTTGAACTGGGCCATGGATAGAGATCTCCACCCCCCGCACACACACACAGTGGGCGTGTTGCGGTTGCAGAGAACATGCCCACCCAGGAGTGTGACACGCCCCTCCGTAAGCATGACATGCCCACCCACAAGCATGACACGCCTACCCATGAGCGTGGGAATGCCTCACACACAAACGAAGCCCGCACCCCCCAACCAGTCCATGGTCTGAAAAAGGTTGGGGACCGCTGTAATAGAAAACAAAATAGAAGTTATTTTTCCCAATTCTTGTAACAACATTTGCCAGAAGATGAAGTACACTGGAACATACTAGAGGAGTACATATTCCTTCAATGAGTACTTTCTACACATTTTATGATGTTCTGCCTGCACC